AAACCTGTATTACTTGTTGAACTTGGTCAAAGTTGCTCTTTTTTATATAATGAAGTTGGGGAAATATGCTGACAAGCTCCAAAATGACAGAAAACGAATATCAAAATATGCATTGCGCCAGCTTCGATGTCACTGATACCAAATGCCTTTAGTTTATGTTCACTTGACCAAAGACAACAATGCAAATATCTGCAAATGAGAACTTATTTTGGTCTGCTCCTCAAACATAGCTATTATATGGCTTCTGACGAACTGGATTATAGCATGTGAGTCTGTACCTTGTTTTTGTACGAGATTTTAAGGTGCTTTTTGTCCTTTTTAGAACTTAGTAGAACTTTGAAGAGTGTGTATAATTTTTCACTTTCATTACGTGGTAATGAGAAGCTCAGACTTTTTGCCTATCGTATCTTTTTGTGCGTCACAGAATTTATTTTATGAATTAAAACGCTTCATAAAGACTTAGTAAGTTGGTTAGTAAACCAAGATTTGTTTTCTAGCAGGCAAAAGCATTAAAAGCCTATAAACCTAAGATATGTACACTTACGAAATATGACAAATTTGACATTGTCGTTTGACAGTGCATATAAAAGCAAATAGAAGCCATTAGAATCAGCGATCCTGTTTACAATGGATATAACCTGGCGGGTCACTGTCAATAAACTGACTGTAAATTGATGCTCTGTTCTATTTCTGATGTAGTTTACACTGTTATGATTTGGTTTTGGAACACTTGGACATGTCCGGTGTTTACACAGTGTTAAAGTGTGGTCACATTAAAGGGGTCATATGATGCAATTTTAAGTTTTCCTTTCTCTTTGGAGTGTTACTAGCTGTTCGTGCATAGATAAGATCCTTAAAGTTGCAAAGACTAAAGTCTCAAACCCAAAGAGACATTCTTTATAAAAGTAGCAGGACTGTTTCCTGAACCTGGGAGAGTAGCCTACAATGTCGGCTGTGCACAAAGGCTTTTCTATAAAGTGGGGCAATTCCAACTTTGCAAGGACAGTCTGGCGCTTCTGACTCACAGCCTGTAAGTACGTTACGCAGCGCGATACGCAACGCTACATGTAAAAAGACAGTATAAGTCATTATAATCCGTAATTATGTCCCCACTGGATGCAACAAATGCCTCGTTCTTTTTAGCAATGACATATGACCCCTTTAAGGAAAATGCAGCTAAATTTTGCTGGAAGAAAGGTCCATTGTCTAGACTCTATGGTCAGCACTGCAGAGTTCACTTTCAAACAAAGCAGGTTTCTGTTGGTAAACATGGTGAATTTGCATGACCAACTCAAACAAGTTACAAAAACTGTGTGTGAAATTCTTTTACCCTCATGCAAAAATCCAACCCAATCTCATGGGAAAACATAAATATTTTATAAATATTCATATCATGTGAATTGTACAAAAACAACAATTGTTTAAAAAAAAAATAAAAGCATGAAGGTCCATCCCTACACACTATGCCACTGGATGAGATTAAGCAGATCGTCCAAAAACATACAATTTATATCATACCAATTCCTACAAATTAACCACCAATTCGCCAAAATGCAAAATGAGATTATGTTGTAGATCTTGTGGATTCTTGAAATCACTGCATTTTGCCTGTGAAAATTTGCCAAACAAATGTGACTGCATATTTACACTGATAGGCTGTTCAGCAGGGTTTTCAAAATATAACTGTGAGTTTATGATCCTTTGGATTCCTCAAGATGTCTTGTTTATGTGAGCTGGGTTACTTTACAACTTCACTATAACCTTTAATACATTTACTTTGCTGCCTTCAAAGCTCTGATGCTTCCTTTAGGAAATGCAGATCTAGTTAAATACAAACATACAAACATTATCTTACCCCTATGCAAACTTTTCCAGCTGGTCTCCCAAATAAAACTCCTGCAGGAATATCAAGGAGTGTAAGACACTTTATTATTAGGGATCCGTTAAATATCTAGTGGTGGGGTTTTTATTCACTGGTTTAATTTATTCCACATTGTTTCTTCAAAGTTGACTACACCTGAAACATCACTTAAACAGTTGTACTAATTTAGCAGTGTAATATATGCATAATATAATAGTGTAATACTTGATTTATATTATGAATAGCTAGAATAGACAAACTAATAATATAAACAAATTCTATCTTGAGAAACTAAATGATTTCATAACACACTGAACTATCTTGATTTGGAAAGTAAAATCTGCTGTTTTGCAGCAAACATTTCAAATATTATTGATGGCATGGAGAACACTGAATTTTCAGAAATGGTTCACTGACATAAGACTCATTATGCCACATTGTACAATCAGTATATAGTGTATTACTACCTACAAAACTAAAAGCATTGATGCAAATACATCAGATCTGAAAAGCAGACATGAGGTGAATTAGATGCGGAATCAAAGCATATGGGTATTTGTTATCATCCTTTTCATTTTCAGAGCTGTAATGTGTGCAGTATTGTAGATGGGTTTTACATGGGTGGTAAGAAATCATCTGTAATCACATTTGCTGGTGTATTTGTGTTTTCCTTGGGCAGTCTAGCTCCATAGCTTTTAGAAACAAGCTAGTATATGAGAAAACAAACAGCAACATGACCTTAACCAGTATAGCAGTGCATGAAAGAAAACCGTGTTTAAGTTTTTGTGTGAAGTACATGAATTATATCTTTGCACTTATTGAATAAGTAAAATCTACAAAACCTCTGTAAAATGGAGATTTTATTTAGCTCAGGGTTTTTTTTTTCAGCTTCTCTCAAACTAAAATAAATAAATAAATAAAAAACTAAAATTTAATGCTGACATCAATAGTTTTTATTTTTCACTTTACAATTTAAATGTACACAACTGCAGCCCATGAGGTCAGATGGAAATCAGAAATGCAAAGAAAGAAAGAAAGAAAGAAAGAAAGAAAGAAGTTTCAAATACTTAGTCACTTATGGAACAAAAAATAAATAAAAAATTCCGGTCCTTTAACATTGCCCAAAACACAAGAAAATATACTTTTATAACTTAACGTGACACAATTTGCATTAACTTTCCTTAATAATGTGTTCTTTCTAAATTTGTAAGAGATTTTAGAAACTGAAAATTCATAATTCCTGGGGTAGGTATAAGTTAAATAAACATCTTACTAGAGTACGATTTTAAAAGAATAAATACAGAGACAAAAAGGAATACAGGTGCATCTCAATAAATTAGAATGTCGTGGAAAAGTTCATTTATTTCAGCAATTCAACTCAAATTGTGAAACTCGTGTATTAAATAAATTCAGTGCACACAGACTGAAGTAGTTACAAGAGGCAAAAATTAAACCAATAATTACATTTGTAAATAATAAAAAAAGTATACTCTATTATTTTATGCTAGTCCCACAGACCTCCACTATTTGCACTTTATACTCTGTCATGTGATACAGCTACAATAACTTCAGTCACTTTTTGGCCCAATGAGCATATAAAATTTACATTTCAAATCAAATATGTTCTGTTTGTCAGTGATTGTGTTACATCATACAGTTTATTATGTTAGTTGCTAAACACTTCCCTTCATAAGATACCACTGTGCATATAATTTTGCTTGTTTTTGCAAAATGAGCAACAAATAACAAACAGCATGTCACAGGTGCTGTCCATAAAGCTTATCAGACTCAGAACATTACCATAATAACGATAATATAATGTAAATTCACAAATGCACGTGGATTCATCTCGGCATTCGTTCTGCATTGATAAACTCCATATCCCATCTCTCTCTCTCTCACAGGTTCTCATTTTATGGCACCTCTCAGATGCAGGCGCCGTGGTGATTTGAATGTGTTTTTAATTCATGTGAATGGCCTGGCAGAGCTGCTGCGGGCCGTTAATTACCTGCCACTGTGAACATCAGTCAGTCTAATGAGAGGAACTCCCGCCCTGCATGCAACGCGCATATTAAGACTCTAATCAGCAAACCTGCAGCACGCGGCCACAGGGACCTGACTACTTCCTACCCCATATAAAAACACAGCAAAAACGATGGGAATTTCGAAAACATGGGGTTGAAATGGCTTTAATGAGGGTACAGCATGGATCTGAGATTTTTAAGGGTGAGACAAGGCAATGCCAGTCTGATAGGATGGTCTGATTAAAGTTAATTTTGTGAAATTGGTTGTATCCTTTCATATTTTCTTTCTCCTCGCATAATTCCAATCAATATTCCATGTTTTTGTTTTTATTTTGAATTCACAAGTAGCTTTTTTTTTACTCCATATAAATTATTACAAATAAAATCGGCAAAAATGCCAACACAATTTAAAAAAGTTGAAACACATTGATTTCACATAAATAAAAAAAAATGTGTTCTTGTGTGTGCAGCATGATTTAGTTTTTGAGAATTTTTTTTTTTTTTTACAAATTTCATTAAAACTTTAGGGACCAATTCTCACTGTTAATTATTAAGGTCCAATTCACAAACCATTAACAAGCTATTAACAAATCATTAACTACGACTTTTGCCTCAAACTCATTAATAGTTAGTAAGGTAGTTATTAAGTTTAGGTATTGGACAGAATCTGGTCATGCAGAATATGTGCTTTATAAGTACTAATAAACAGCCAATATGTTAATAATAGGCATGCTAATAAGCAACTAGTTGATAGTGAGAATTGGCCCCTATTCTAAAGTGTTACCTTTAGATGTCTTAATCCTACCCCATACCTAAATTAACAACTACTTTACTAACTATTAATAAGCAGTTTATTGAAGCAAACATTGTAGTTAAAGAGTGACTGATCTAAAATATGGTCATGTCGAATAAGGCATTAATATGTGCTAATTAACAGCCAATATGTTAGTAATACGTATACTAACAAGCAACTAGTTGATAGTGAGAAATGGTCCCTAAACTAAAGTGTTACCCAAATTTCATTACTCCAATGTCATCAGTCAAAACCACACATTAAACAAGTCAACAAATTATAACCATATATATAGTATTTATTTACACATTTTTCTATTTACATCTCTCTGAAAACAATTCTGTACACAGCTATTTAATTCAAGAACATTTCAGTTGCACCTCTTTTAAAATCCATTCTGACGTTTCTGTAGTTTGGAGTCAAGAAACTTGGTTTCCAGAAAACCCCACATAGCTCGTACTGTAACTCCATGTTGTCCAGGCACTGAATGTCAGTTACAGTAAATTCCTTCAATTCTACGGCCCATCAAACAGCCGAAGGAGAGCAGTAGAGCTGCTGAATTCACTGCTCATGTAGGAGTAAATGTTGTCAAGGCAAATGTTCTGCTTTGCCACATCCTAAATGATCATGAATGTAAAATAAATATCTGTGACGTCATCAATCTCTAGAGTTAGGCACAACTTAACAGGCTCATGTAAACAGTATATAAAAAAAGAAGAAAGAATTTAAAAAAGCGGATTCATAGAATATATCTTGTACAAAAAGGAGGAAAATAGACTTATCAAGTGCAGTTTCACTTATATTTAGTTGTAAGAACTGGCACACAAATGAAAAAGCCTGATGACATGATTGAAGCTGCGCACAGTTCAAATACTGACAAAATGTCAAAAGCGGATATCCCCAAACACATCAATTAATGACAGCACTGTACAGTCAGTACGGATTATTATATCAATATCAAAATGGGACGTCAAAATGACAGGGCCATGAGCAACAGGGAAAGCAAAAATTGAATCAGTTCTTCAGTTTGCAGCTCGTTCACTGAACCTGTGCCTTGCAAAACTCAAACAGCCAAAATAAGGCAAATTGTATTGACTCCACTGCAAAGCCTCATGGGCACTGTTCACATACAGAGACAAAATGAACACCCTACGAATCCTGGCTGCTTCCTGAGGTAGACCAAGGTTAGAATAAGTGTTCGTATGGCGCCGTTTAAGCCAAACGATCTTACTGCGAATGTTTATAAACCATGTTTTTTGAATGACGTCTTATTATTGCCATGAATCAATTGGGCCAGCATCCATCCTACTGTTGCTGTTACTTCCTAGAATCTTGCTGTCTAAATGAACTGAAAAAAAAAAAAATCTTGGTAAAGGTTGTGATTAAATAAAAAATAGAAAAGCCTTAGAAACAAAGATTAAATTAGTGTATTTCAAGAGAGCATGATTTTGACATCTGGGTGACTCATGGCATTCGGAGTGCTGATATTAGTAGAAATGCGGAGAAAAAAAATGGCAGGAACAGCTGCAGACCATATTCCCATCTCCATAAAAAAGTCACGGTTTCAGTTCAGTATCATTACACAGACAGTTGCGCCTCCGAGGTCAGTAGGGCTCGTCATATTCAGTGATTGTGCTGGGCGAAGCCTCATCTTTTGTAATGGTTAGGGGCATCGGCAAATGCAAACTTCAGCCGGTAAGCTTCAGCTAGGAGAACGCTAACTTCCTCATTTCCCCAGTGCATTGTGGGTAGATTCTGGAGCAGAATCATCAGACCCTGTGGAGGATAAAGACATTTTGTTAAAAAGGATTGTATGCACAAACACAACAGTGATATACATTTGTCTAATCAACTAGTGGATAGACATTCTGAATAACTAAATGATTCTATTTCAAATCACATGTTTGCAATTAGATTAAAATTCAATCGATTCAATTCAATGCATTAATGATTTATTTAGACGTATAGGCAATCAAGGTACAGTACATGTAATTTTTTTTTCAAGGAAAAAAATCTCTTAACAAATGCTGCAAACTATAATTTATTAATTATATAAATTATCTTTCTACTCCAGTTTATTTTTTGAAATATAAACATTTAAATAGGGTATGTCGTGACTTGTTTTCAGGATTTATTCAATCATACATAAAATACTGAAGAACAGATTAAGTAAAACAATGAATTTGTAATATAGTGCATATATAATTAGCAAAATGATCCTTTCTAGAGTTCACCTTTCCAGCTAACTATCAAGGTCATTGATGATATCATCGAGTAGGTTTTCTGAGGTAAATGTAACATGACCCGGAATTGTTTACAAGCTGTTATATTGATGTCTTTCTGGGATTGAAACACTAATTGAACTATTACACGAGACATGAAACATTTCTATAAGTTGTACTGCTTTTTTTAAACATACCTTCTGATGTGCATTCAAGTTAATTTTGTGCAGTAACTAGTAGTAAAGAGGAAGAGATGATCAGGCTTACATGCTTAAACTCAGGCGGCTACAGTAATTGGTAATGCCACATTGAAGCATGCCAAAATGTTATTGATTGTTTGAATTTCTTATCAAACTGACAACATTTTTTAAATCTGAGACTTTGTTCATATTCAAACAACTCTGGCCTTCAAGACCAACTTTCCTGCAGAGTTCAGCTCCAACCCTAATCAAACAAGAACAAACTAATCAAGGACTTCAAGATTACTAAAAAGCTACAGAGACACGCGAGTCTGATCGGGGTTGGAGCTAATTTCTCCAGGAAAGTGGATATTGAGGGACAGAGCTGCCCAGCCCTGTTTTCGAATTAGGTACACTAATCAGATGCTTTTATTTGAGATTTATGGATACTTTAAGGTCATGTCCACCTATCAGACATTTTTCTTGGTGATATAAAGTTGCTTTAGAACAGGGGTGGGCAACTTTGGCCCTTGAGGTCCACTGTCCTGTAGAGTTTAGCTTCTACACACCAGAACCTAGCTAACCAAGGTCTTACAGATTAGAATCTTTTAAACTTGATCAGATGCACTTCTTAGCCATATGAGAGCAACTTAAGGTCATGTTGACCAGTTAGACCAGGGGTCTGCAAACTCGGTCCTGGAGGGCCAGTGTCCTGCAGAGTTTAGCTCTAACTAGCATCAACACACCTGTCTGGAAGTTTCTAGCATGCCTAGTAATACCTTGATTAGCTGGTTCAGGTGTTTAATTAGGATTGGAGCTAAACTCTGCAGGTCACCAGCCCTCCAGGACTGACTTTGGAGACCCTGGATTAGACTTTTCGTAATGGTTTGAATATGCAATGTAGTTGTGTCAACGAAGTTGAGAAAACATTCAAAAGCAATGCAAATTAGCATCTATGTGATGCGGCGAACACAGCCCAGTACAGCAACTTGCCAACGTCCAGCGAGTACATTTGCAAAAGGGGCATAATCAGCTAGTTGGCTGATGGAAGACATTTGGGCATCCTAATGCACATACATCCTGGGAGGAAGTGTTGTCTAGGTAAACCACATGCTTTCACTTTTCTGGAAAGAGTTTTACTTGGTGTTCAGCAGACAAGAGAAGGTATCGCAGCACAGAGTTGTTTATTTTTTTTTTCTTCAGCGGGGTCAAGCCAGGCTATCACAAAGCACCACCGTACCGCTCTAAATTATTATAACTTTCAATCACAGATTCTTCGACTGCTCAATCTTAAGTGTAGGGTGAAGAGAGCGAGCTGCCTGTCAAGCTGTGTTTCTCTTCTCGCTCGGTGCGGTCAGGACCTCGGCGGTGGAAGCCCATTTCTCTTAGGTATAGAAGGCCAAGTCTAATTCACTCAAGGCGGCGTCAGGCGGCTCCAGCAGGCCTCAGAGTCAATGACTGCATTAGAGCGGCTTAGAGCCTCAATCTCCCAGCCTAATTCACCTATCCTGCTGGCCCTGATGAAGGAGAATGAGAACGCTTAATACTCCATCACAGCGGGGTACAAGGGGGATGGATGGAGGTGAGAGAGGTAGAAGAGAAGGGTACAGGAAAAAAGCAATAATGTATCTTATAATAAAGAGAGCGTCAAAGTTTTGCAAACATTTGACAGTTAATAAGCCAAATCCTCATTTGATGATTTAGCATTTCAACTGAATGCACCTAAAACTGCCATTCTCTTCACATTTGGGATGAGTGTAATGAAAACAAGCATGGATGAAAGCTGACATGTCTGATACGGAGTGCATGCTGCACAAAAAAAGCAGGCACAACGGTTCCAGAAATTCAAGCCGTAGCACTTTAAGGCCCAAATACATCTTTGAAAAAGCTAAGTGTGTGAAGAAGATTGCTTCTAGCTAGACAGGCTTGATTTCCCGCGTCACTGCATACTGGAACACGATAGAACATAATTTGTAAGCCAATGCAAATGAGTGTTGCATTCTCAGAGTTGTCGCATGGGGCACTAGGTGAGAAATTAAACTAAACAGTCTTCTTTGGTTCTGTCTTGAGCACAGACAATTAGACTAAGATTAAAAAGCAGAGTAATAACAATATTGTTTGTATAACAAAAGTGTTGATTACACTTTCATATACCCCTCGTATGTATGATTCAAAGACCATGTAAATAAAAATGAGTACATAATTCCCTGTGCAATTCCATAGGTACACGATTGAGGCATGTTATTAAATGCTATGAGTCGAGGGACAACACCAAAATAAATCTTTATGATCTCTAAAAAAAGAGCTCTGAAGCTTGAGTATTTAATATGAGTATTAAAATGGACAGCTGTGAGTATGATTACCAAAGCATTCAGAATGCTTTTCTGCTTTAATATGCTATATGCCGGGATTTTCTGCATAATGTACATATTTTTATGGCAACATTTATGTAATGAATGATGTACTTGCGTAATTGTTTTAGGGTATCTGATCATTTTAAGTACTTGAGCACAGTATAATATTCTATACGGATACCGCTATCAGTAACTATAGTAGTCAACTATATTTAAAATGAATCCATCCATGTAATAGTCAAATCAAATACTAATCAGTCTATTTTTTTCTCGACAGATAACTATATTAGAGGTAATTACTTAGTAATGAGCCTAGCCACATAATTGGAAATAAATGAGTGATATAAAGGATACACAGCCAACCAATGTGATTGATTGGGGACTGTTCATTTTCATAGCATTTAGGGACTTTGTCTCTAGAGTATGTAAACAAACATCAATGTTAGAAGTTCAGGATATTGTAAGTATATTTCGAACCCCTTAAGCCTGAATTACTCCAAAGGCAGGGAAATGTTTTATTATAGAGAAATGTCTTATGAATTTTTATTCACATAATTTTTCATAATAAATTGTACATTAACATATTAAATTGACAGCTCAGATTTTTATCATACTACATTCTATAACACACACGTGGCCAAGCCTGAGGATTCTGTTATCTCAGAGTAAGAAGTCATGAAGATGATGTGCCAAAAATGTGATTCCAGAAGCAATGCTACAGGGAATGACTTTGATAGCCAAGTAAAGTGCTTAATGTTATACAACCACACTCAAGAATATATTTAAATCAGCTGAAGAGTTTTGGAGTTGTTGTCGCAGTCTGAACATTTCCTTACACAACCTCCACAAAAGTATGTTGCACTCCAACAGGTAACGGCAGATGAAATCTTTAGTTAAATGTCAACAGACCCTTCATAAGCTTTGATTTGTGTCCACTAATTTTTGTGAAGTACCCATGTTCTCCTTGAATTCAAGTAGAGTGTTTGATGAACAAGAGTGAGAACATGTAAAAATTTTATAGTGAATAATATCCCTGAAGATCATTATAAGATTGTGCAGGTGTTAGTCCAAGAGCTTTGATCTTTGAAGAGTAATCTACCTGAACACTCAAACAAATGTGTTTTTGAGGAAGATTTGAAGAATATAGTGCATACCTTACTACACCACTGATGTGTATGCAAAACAGTTGTCAGCTATACTTAAAACAAAACCATCCGTGTAATAGCCAAATCTCCTAATCAACACGGTCATCACAACCTAGTTTTCGACAAATAACTAGATTAGGACACTAATTACTTGTAATGAGCCAAGCCGAATAATTGGATATAAAGGAAGTATCTAATGATCTACACAGCCAACTAACAGAATTGATGCAGCACTGTTAATTTTTGTTGCATTTTGGGAATTTTTCTCTGGAGCATGTAGACGGATGGCACACTGTTAGTTATGAGATGCAATAATAACATTGCCAATAGCCATCATTACAGTCAATATGAAATGAATTTCACAACCCATTTTTTTTTTCTCCATGATGTGATTTATTTGTAAATGTAACATGGTTTTCAACTTTAGAAATTAATGGTAGAAATGAACTAAATAATAACAATCATCATATTCATTTCTATACTAACAAAATTGCTCTTGCGTAGGTTTGATAGATTAATAAATAAACGCCCAAAAGTATAATTTATTTATAACAATGGTTCATAACAGGCCCACATTTGTTAATTATTGCGGAATAAGAAAGACTGTGCTCTACAGTTGAGCCTGATTTAAAATTACACACAGAGATTTGGACTTTTAAGTTGAATTGTACAGTCGATTGATAACAATATTGTTCAATATATCAGTTATTGCATACAAAATATTAACAATTGTAAGTTATTGCAGTTGGACAATTTCCAAATTGGTGCATTCCTTGTTAAAAGAAAATGATTTCAGTGGTGGTATGTTATATATTAGAAATAAATCAGTTTGAATATCATATTGACATTAAGAATTAAGGTTTTACCTGCATTTTT